GAGCTTTAGGTTGAAGAAAAGTAGCAAAAGCCTAAAGAAAGAAATCAACATCATTCCTATAAAATTGTCAACAAATAATTTGAAATATCTTTTATGGGTGAGAGGTGAAGTTCTTGTAGGACCACATATATCTGCATGCACCAACTATGATTGAGCTTTAGCCCTCGATGAAGTTCTAGGGAAAGGAAGTCTATGGATTCTTCCATAGATGCAGCCTTCACATACATTTCCATTGTCTTCTATTTTGGGGAGGCCATCACCATAATTTTCTGCTGTAGTGTAAGAATACCTTTGAAGTAAAGATGACCATACCTCAAGTGCTACAGGTAGGAAATATATGGACTTTTTCTTTTGAGAGAAAAATTATTTTCTATCGACATTAGGACTGGGAAGACCTTGGTAACAGGCATGTCAACCTTCGCTACTATCTGATCATTTTTCTTCTCCAAAATAGTACATTTGCTATCATCAAAATTGATGTGTATCCTTTTTGGAGCAATTGATCAACACTTAAATTTTGAGTTATGTTAGGAACATAAAGAACATCTAAGATATATTTTGTATCTCCTTTCTTGGTGTGAACAACAATCATACATTTTCCTTCACCTGCATCTTGTCATTTCCTAGCTTTACTTAAGAGTTGAAACTACGATCAAGCTTGACAAAGAAGTCTTTATTACCTTATCCACGTACCATATACTTAATCACTATGGTCAATTGTACAAGAAAATAATTTCCTTCATCTTCTTTTGTAAAATTTGCTTTATGGTTTTCATTTTTATTTTGAAGCCAACAATATTTTTTATAATGACTTGGAATCTTGCATTTAGTACATCTAAAGTAACAATCTTTAGATTGATTATTTTACTTTTTGCAAATAATCCCGTGAGAGTCAGAATTACCGAATTTTTTGCTTTGCCATTTTCCCTTGCCTCTTTTATCATGTTGATCATCTTTCTTTTGTGCAGGATTCCATCATTTTTTATGATTAGACTTGTACGTCTTCCTTTCTTCAAAATTTAACTTGGTATGAAAGGCTTGCTCCATACATTGAGTTGTTTCAATCTTTTTTTCGTGAGCTTGAAGCGATCCCATTAGTTTAAAGATTGTCAATTTTGACAAATCTTTAGACTTTTCGATTGCTGCAACAACATGATTAAATTTTGAAGGAAGAACTCCGAATAACTTTTTAATTGACTATCTTTTCTAGAATTGTCTCTCCATATTTCTTCATTTTGTTGATAATTTCAGCAACTCGAGAAAATAATTCCCGAAAGTTTTCACTTTCCTTCATCGTCAAATTGTCAAAATCTCTCCACAAAGATTGCAACTTGATGGAGATAATTTTTTTCAAATCCCTGAAATTCATTTTGCAAATTTTCCAAGCATCTCACTTTTTTAATACAAAAATTCCAAGGAAAAATGGACTCGCTAACACCTTGTTGAATGAGACGAAGAGCTAAAGCATTTTAGCTTTTATTCTTTTTCAACTCCTCTTGTTCTTATATCATCTCCGAGGCACCTTTATCTTCATAGTCTTCTTTCAATAATTTATCAAAAATCTTGAGAAGAAAATTGTCTCCATTTGACTTTGTCAATATTCATAGTGCTCTCCATCAAATACCATAACTTGGTTTAACTTGGTTCGTTGGGAGAATAAACAAATTTGGAACCCAACTAAAAATCATGTTTAATTTTAGGATGGCTCTAAAATAAAATAGAAGAGAACTTATAATGGAGAGAAACTTCTTCTATGGGGTGCTTTGGCACTTTACTCAATTGGAGAKCTCGATTGCTTGTGCTGCTTACAAATGATGGAGAGTACATCTATTTATAGGTGCTAGGAATAGCTCTAGAAACCCCTATTCAAAGTCCTAGGTAATTGCTATAGTAATTTAGACAAACATTTCTTATTCCAAGAAGTCACTTAGAAGAAATCAAACGACTTATCAATTCAACTTACTGAAACTTATCTTGAAAATTACAAATTAACTTTTAACATAGACATTTAATTWCTATAAATCAGTGTTTTGTTTCTTCTCTCTTCCTCGTTTATTTTGTTGAATTTATGGATGAAGCTTAATTAATTATGTATTATTCTTTATTTTTCTAAATATGTTTGTGCTGTTAGTGTAAATTGGAATACCCGATAGTACTTAAATAACCTAAGGAGAGTTACTTTTAAGTGAATTTTTTTTATGTGCATTGCTAATTTTTTACATGTAGAGACATTTTTCTCGCGTCACGAAATATGGCATCCTTGYTATTGAGCTAAAAAAGGGGGGAAAATCCTCAATTTCCTTAGAAATCCTCAATTTCCTTACTTGAAATTACTTGTTTGATGCTCAAAATGCAGTAGAACTATCTGTTAAAAATGCCAACATCATTCATTGAAGTTCTAACAATAACAAACACGTACAACTAATTAACTTGTATTTGCAATATTATAAYTGGAGCTTTCTAAATCACATTATTCCAATTTGTAATGGAGAAATTACTAGTAAAATTATAAGTCTTTCTTTATGGTCATGTTTACACAACAGGAAAAAAGCTAAAGATAATTGTTACAACTTACAACCCTTTGGARAACTATGATAGCCTGTGAAGAATGAGATGAGCCCCATGTTGTGGTTGAATAGTGATGTTTGATACAGGAGCATGAGTATAACTTGGAGAAAGTTCAAAAGAGAATCGTCGCAAAATCATYRATAACGCTATTTTTGCTTCKATCATAGCAAAGTTTTGGCCGAGACAGATTCGAGGACCCCATCCAAAAGGGATGAAGCATACTTGATTCTTTGTTGCTTTGGAAATTCCCTCTGAAAACCTCTCTGGTTTGAACTCACCTGCATCTTCACCCCATATTTTGGGATCTTGGTGAATGTATACAATTGGTATGCCTATTGATGCTCCAACGGGTAATGTCAGATTTCCCAATTTTGTTTCCGTGTGAATCTCTCTAGCTAGCATACCAACTGGAGGGTATAGTCGGAGAACCTCGTTCAATATCATAGTTACCTGTTATCAATGTAATAATACTATTTTTTATTAAGGTATCTATAAAAGATTAATGGTGCATTTAGTGGGTGATAAAAAAACAAAAATCTAAAACCAATTCAATGAAAAACAGAGGGGTGTTTAGCAATAATATTTGTTAACTAGTGATCACTAACAACTAAATATTTAGTCCAATTTAAAATATTATTGAACATTAAAAAACAAAAATACCAAACAAATATTGAAACCAAATTTGGATTAAAATTTAAAATATTATTGAACATTAAAAAACAAAAAATACCAAACAAATATTGAAAATAAATTTGTATTGAATACTAATCCGGCTCTAAATTTAGCCTAACTCATATCGGTATAACTAACTCATATCGGTATAACTTGTAATCAAATTCCTGTAATGTAATTTTTTCCCAATTTAATATATGAGGGGAAGTGTATTAAAATATCTATAAAAGATTAAATTTACTGTAACCTATGAGCTTACCTTTTATGAGTTGATTGGTGATTCATCGTGTGAGAAAATAGAAAAAAAAAAAATAAAAAATCATAATTACTTACAATTTTAAGGCGACTTAAACCATCAAAATCCAATTTGTTGTTATCGCTGAAGACTTCTAGGACTTCTGCTCTTGCTCGGTCTTGCCATTCCGAGTGATGACCAAGTAAGACCATTGTCCAAACAAGCAATGCTGCTGTGGTTTCTTGGCCAGCAAAATAGAAAAGCCTGCATTCACTGATAACATCTTGGATACTCATTCCAACATCTTTCCTGTTTCCATTTTCCTGAATTTGACTTGCATTTGATTCTAAAAGGATGCCTAGCAGATCATCATTGGAAGCTTCATCTGCCTTCATAGCACTTTGTCGTTTACTTATAATACCCAAAACCATGTCTCGAATTTTCTTATCAATCTCTTCCGTCCTCTTGTTTAACTTGGTTGGTAAAAAGCTAGGACAACATTTCGAAATATATAATTAGTGTTTTTTTTTTTTAATGTAGGAAATGAAAAAAGAAAGAGAGAAAGATGAACAAGCGTCTTGAAAATAAAACATCATTTTAATTGGATAGAATTTAGGTGCTTACTGATAAGTATCTTCTACTTACAACGGTAAAAGTATCAACAAATGCAGCATCTTAATTACCTCCATCCCGGAATATAATAGACTCGATTGGTTAGGCGTGTCATTAGTAGCACAGCCCACTCTTTCAAGAGTTGGAATATCTTTTTTCCTTCCTCGTAGCTACTCCCAAATGCAGTTCGAGATATCACATCTGCRGTCATATTTTGTAAATCAGGCCACACGTCTAGTTCACAAGACCCATCTTTAAGAACCATTGTTTCCCATTTGCTAATCATCTCGCTACAACTCTGGGAGAACGCTGGAAACATATCCTGCAAACATTTCAAGTCGAAAGTTTTAAATTAAGATTTGACTCAACTGAAACTAAGATTAAACTATAATAATTTAACATCTTTCTTTAAAGAAAAAATAATGGAATTAGAAAGTCTACCTTCAACTTCTCCATGTGAAATGCAGGGTTGATGATCTTTCTATGTTTAGYCCATTTAGGTCCCTCCAGAGTGACAAGCCCACTTCCCATTCTCCTTACAATATTGGCTGGGAAAGAAGATGACTTACGAATGTCATTGATTTGAGAGAAAACAATCTTCAGCTGTTCTGGATCTCTTATATACACTCTTGGAGTTGTGCCAAACCATGTGAAACAATCCTTACCTACAAATATACTTTTATTTAGAATACAACTTAATGAACTATATCCGATAACGTTTCATAAAATTATCTCAACCAAACTTTTTTTGCCCGCACAAAGAAAATACAAGTTTGAATCTCCACTTATTTAAATTGTAATACTAAAAGAAATATATAGTTCAACATTACTTTCAAATCTCTCTAATTTTGATTTGAATACTATAGTTCGAGATTATTTTATCAATTTCGTTCCTATGTTTTTAGATACTTTATTTAATTTATTTTCAATTTTTGGTCATTGTAGTTTTAAGATATTTATTAAGCTTCACAAAAAACTAATATTATAATCACCCGGCGGACTGACTACGAATCCATTTTCCCCTCCTTTTTATTCAATACTCTATAAAGACCCTTATGCAATCAGATTCATATATTCAACCGTACTTGTTCACTCAGCCTAAACAGTATCAAAACTTTAATTCAATTAATTATTATATATATTTTAAACTAAAAAATCAGGAGTTTGAATCTTAATGGAACAAAGAAGAGATGTACCATATTTATGGATAGTGAGATGCGCGGAGGGGGTGGCGCGTGGAGCAATATCGTGGGAGAAGCTCATGGGCGGCCCGGATCTCGCCCGCCGCATCGCTGCCGCAATATCGTTGGAATCTCCAAAGAGAAGGCGGTAGGAATTTCCGGCGAGGCCCTGCTGCGTGAGCCTCTTCTCCAGCTGCTTGGGCCTCACCCAAATCCAGTTCACAACCCTCCATCCCCACACCACCGCCAAGCACAACCCCACACCCAACGTCAAAATATTCCACATCTCCATGGATCCCTATTTCCCACTTTCCACTTCCCCACGCCAAATATATATATTTTTGTTCCTCCATCTTTTTTCCTTTTTTCTTCCTTTTTCGTGAATCTCTAGATATTGTTGACTGTTTTATTCAATGTTATTAATTGGGGTCCCTTTCTGTATTATTATTTTTTTGGTGTATTAAAATAATAGATAAGATGGATGAACCTTATCTGGACAAAAAAAATATGGAGTCAATCGAGGTGTGACAACGTCATTGATTACGTCAACAACCTTTCCAAAAATGGATGTCAATAGCACAAAAAACCATATAGTTACCAAATTTGGTATATGGAGGAAAAAACTTTGATAGTTGGAAAACSAAAATATTATTGTATTAAAGGGATTTGATTAAAAAATATTTTTGTTCGGTATTTTAATTGAAATAATGATTTAGTCGGTACATTTTATATTTTTAAATTAGTAACAATTTAGTCCCAAAATTTTAATAGGTAATAACTTATAACGATTTAGTCTGTATTGTAAAGTTATTTATTGTTTCATATATATGTAGATCATTTCTGAGCAAGGACMAAATTTGTTTATAAATTATAAAAATTAAATCACTATATGATAAAAATCGACACTTAATTTTGATGAGACGTTTTATAGTAGAGACTAAATTGTTACAAAATTGAAACTATAAAGACTAAATAATTGTTGGATTTACGAGCTTCAAACATACCATATGTTTTGATGATAACAAACTTAATCTATTGATGATTTTAGTGTTTCAAAGTATCCATATGGTAGATATTGAAAAGACGAATCCAGCGCAATTTAAATTGCTCAAATCGAAGTTCAAACGATGAGTTATGATTCAAACAAGTTGAAAGGAAAGTATCCGAGAGAATGATGTGGCAAATCATATGCTGGCATATGGCGAGCTAAATTACCCATAAACAAAAAGAAAAAAAAGCAAAAAAAAAAAA